AAGCAAGTACCTGCCCGTGGGTGCTACATTCTGAGCACAGGTAAAAGGGAGATTGCGTTTGAAGGCTATCAGAACACCCCGTCGTTTCTCAGGAGCCATGGCCGTGTAGAAAGTGGGATAATGAGGTGAAAGATACCATGGGGCGGAGGACTGTGAAAACCTGGTTTCCTGCAAGCATACCACGTCAATTCGTGGCAATTTTGAGGTGATGAAAAAAACTTTAGACAACTTCTGAGGCAAATTAAAGCCTTGGATATTTTGTGAATATACTTTCAAAGGGGGCAAAGCCATGGTGAGATCAGCGTAAGCCACTCAGCAGAAAAAACATAGGTCGGCCAACAATTTCCACTCCCAAGGATGGTCAGGCCATGGTGTCTCGAAACCCTGCAGAAACCAAGAACAGAAAAACTAGAAAAAAAACGAGAAGACAGGAAAAAAAGACAAAGGAAACAGAATAAGTACAATGGCATAGCCATAATCACACCTATGATGAAATGCATCCTACACTCAAAAATACCAGTTGGTGGCTTTACCACCGAACACATGACTGCAAATGAATGCATCAAAAAAACATAGGCCCTCAGGGGGCAAGGAGGCAAGACATACATAACATAACAAGGTACCCATATTATTATATATGGGAGTCCCCAGGAAGTGGGTCCTACCAATGGAAACCCCCTCCCGGAAGCTCAGTCAAGCTAGGGGGCCCAGCCCCCTCCAGGGAGATGACTACAGGCCACTACAGAACCCAACACCACAGCACAGATGGTCTCCCACCCCAGCGCCTCAGCATGGCCATCACCCTAGCTCCAAACAATGGTCCTCTCAAGCCAACTGCCCCCCCTAGAGCCCCCCCTAGGGAGTCATCGGCCCGTTACACCAACATGAACCCAGCCACTCGCCGAGACCCATGGCATTGGACAGTGGCAAAACATCACAGACTACAAGTCCAGGCGGGACCCCCCACCCATAGACAGAACCCCAAGGGGGCCGGACGGGCAGGGCTCAGTCACATAACATCATCAGTATTGGCGATGCCTAAAAGGCCAAACTTGCGGTCCCGTCAAAAGGATGCAGCAGTGAAGCACAACGGAGGAAGTCCTGGATACAACTTCATCTCAATGAAGAACAGGTTGGATTCGATCATAGAGGGGTCCGAGGAAGGGCCCTCTTCCGGTTGGATGCCTTCTCCCAGAGGCGGGCCAGATGAGGTGGCCCCGATTGAGATCCAGATGAATGTGCCGAACTCTGCGCAGCACCTCCCGGCGGGATAAGATGCAAGGATTCTAGGGGAGAGTGGGCTTCCACCGGCATGGTAATAGAGTGGCTACAACCTTGGTAGTTGAAGGTGAGGCAGAACGGAAAGCCCCATGCGTACTTGATTCTGCAATTTACCAGGACCGAGGTGTCAAGGTCCTACCTTTTTCCTGTGGTTATGTTACTTCATGTGCTGGTGTCCATCTTGGATTCTGCTGTGCATGATGGGAGCCCTTTTATGCCTTCAGGTTTCTGTGGTCCATCCTCCAGAGGGGTGTGGCTGATGACATATAAGCCTGTGGCCCGCACATGCTCTTTGCACTTGTGTCTTGTGTCTTTGTGTTGCTGTTACTCTGTTCTGACTCTCGTGACTCTCCTGGTATCTGATTCGGCTTGTCTTGACTATTCTTTGTATTCTCCTTTGATCTGACCCTCTGTTGCTGAACCCGGCTCGTGACCTGTGATTCTCGTCTGCTGTCCTGTACTGTTCTGTCCTGTTGTTGTTGACCCCGGCTTGTCTGACTACTCTTTTGTCTCTTCCACCAGCTACACGCCATTGGCGGCGGCCATTACCGCAGCTGAGGTGTCTCGGGGGCCGCGACCTGGTTCCTGGCTGCGTCAAGTCCATCCCCACCATCAGGGGCCCTGGTGAAGGGCAGCCTGGGACTTAGACTCCGCGCCCTGAGGGACTTTGGTCTGTGGGTGGTGGTTGTCGTCAGCCAGTGCGTTACATTGTTAGGCCTGCCTGTCCGTTCCTCAGCTCCTGCCCTGACACGAGGTGAATGGCTTCAACTAATGGCGCTTCTGCAGCATGATCTGGGAGAAGTCCAAGAAGAGCTGATAATGATACCCCTGGAAACTGAAGTCTCGGTTGTTCCTGTCCGCCAAGAGAATGGTTTTCTTAGTGCAGTAATAGGTGAATTTGATGAAAATGTCTCTTGGAGGCCCCTCCAGCCATTTGGGACCCAATGCATGGTGTATGCGGTCAAATTCGAGACAGTCAATGGGAATGGTGGGGGGTCAGCTCCTGAAAAAGCAGTAGCGGTTGAGGTGAGATCCGTGACGGATTCTAAAATACCCTGTAAGCGCAAGTTGCTGTGGCGGAAGCAGTTCTCAAAATATTCAAGCCATAGCAGCGCGTCCGCCAATTTTTTCTTAAGTTCGCATAGATCCTGCTCATGACTTTCAATGGCCGTGGCAGCAGCATCCATTTTATCCTCGAGATCGTTCGTAGAGGAGGACAACTCAGTCTGCTTCATCAACTTGAAGCGATCCAGGAGCTCAAAGCCCATCTCGGTTGCGGGATCCGAAGTACCTGCAGGCAGCATCAGGCCCGGGAAAGGAGAGGGGGACCCGGCAACTAAAAGGCAGGGGTTGGCAGTGCAGGTACCCATTTGCGGTCTACCTGCCCTAAGAAGTAGACTGCAATCGACGGGTTGCCAACCCCCATTACATGCCGACCCCTGTTATATCGGATTTTATGCGGAATTCTCAATTGAAACATTAATTCACTTATTTATTAAGTGCCCAATCATATCGAGTACAACTTGCCACGCAATTTGCCATGCGAGTTTCAAATTGCATGTCAAGTTGCACCCTATTGTCCGCAAATAAAGCGGTTATATCATTGTGATTCCGACTTGGTCAGAGCTGCACCAATTTCTTAAGCAGTCCCACATTAAGTCGGAATGACATCCGACTTTGAAATCGTGTGACTTACTGAATCAGTGTGATTGGGGACTTAGTCATTTTCAATCTTGTGTGTGTATGTATATATATATACAGTCATGTCCATAAATATTGGGACATCGACACAATTCTAACATTTTTGGCTCTATACACCACCACAATGGATTTGAAATGAAACTAACAAGATGTGCTTTAACTGCAGACTGTCAGCTTTAATTTGAGGGTATTTACATCCAAATCAGGTGAACAGTGTAGGAAATACAACAGTTTACATATGTGCCTCCCACTTGTTAAGGGACCAAAAGTAATGGGACAGAATAATCATAAATCAAACTTTCACTTTTTAATACTTGGCTGCAAATCCTTTGCAGTCAATTACAGCCTGAAGTCTGGAACGCATAGACATCACCAGACGCTGGGTTTCATCCCTGGTGATGCTCTGCCAGGCCTCTACTGCAACTGTCTTCAGTTCCTGCTTGTTCTTGGGGCATTTTCCCTTCAGTTTTGTCTTCTGCAAGTGAAATGCATGCTCAATCGGATTCAGGTCAGGTGATTGACTTGGCCATTGCATAACATTCCACATCTTTCCCTTAAAAAACTCTTTGGTTGCTTTTGCAGTATGCTTTGGGTCATTGTCCATCTGCTCTGTGAAGCGGCGCCCAATGAGTTGTGAAGCATTTGGCTGAATATGAGCAGATAATATTGCCCGAAACACTTCAGAATTCATCCTGCTGCTTTTGTCAGCAGTCACATCATCAATAAATACAAGAGAACCAGTTCCATTGGCAGCCATACATGCCCACGCCATGACACTACCACCACCATGCTTCACTGATGAGGTGGTATGCTTAGGACCATGAGCAGTTCCTTTCCTTCTCCATACTCTTCTCTTCCCATCACTCTGGTACAAGTTGATCTTGGTCTCATCTGTCCATAGGATGTTGTTCCAGAACTGTGAAGGCTTTTTTAGATGTCGTTTGGCAAACTCTAATCTGGCCTTCCTGTTTTTGAGGCTCACCAATGGTTTACATCTTGTGGTGAACCCTCTGTATTCACTCTGGTGAAGTCTCCTCTTGATTGTTGACTTTGACACACATACACCTACCTCCTGGACAGTGTTCTTGATCTGGCCAACTGTTGTGAAGGGTGTTTTCTTCACCAGGGAAAGAATTCTTCGGTCATCCACTACAGTTGTTTTCCGTGGTCTTCCGGGTCTTTTGGTGTTGCTGAGCTCACCGATGCGTTCCTTCTTTTTAAGAATGTTCCAAACAGTTGTTTTGGCCACGCCTTATTTTTTTGCTATCTCTCTGATGGGTTTGTATTGTTTTTTCAGCCTAATGATGGCTTGCTTCACTGATAGTGACAGCTCTTTGGATCTCATCTTGAGAGTTGACAACAACAGATTCCAAATGCAAATAGCACACTTGAAATGAACTCTGGACCTTTTATCTGCTCATTGTAATTGGGATAATGAGGGAATAACACACACCTGGCCATGGAACAGCTCAGAAGCCAATTGTCCCATTACTTTTGGTCCCATAACAAGTGGGAGGCACATATGCAAACTGTTGTAATTCCTACACCGTTCACCTGATTTGGATGTAAATACCCTCAAATTAAAGCTGACAGTCTGCAGTTAAAGCGCATCTTATTCGTTTCATTTCAAATCCATTGTGGTGGTGTATAGAGCCAAAAATGTTACAATTGTGTCGCTGTCCCAATATTTATGGACCTGACTGTATATACACACACACACACTGCATTTTGGATCTTGCTTCATATTTTTGCAGATGACATATGGGATTTTATGGCATTAATTTGTGTTATAGTGATTGAGAGAATTTGTTTACTGCACTTTATGTGAGAAATTGATTAGATTTTTTATTTTAAGGTATTTATTATTTTCACAGGAAAAATAAGTAAATTCAGGGGATTATATATTAGATTAATTTATTGCAATTGCATGTGCAGCGCTACCCTTGAGAATTTATTAAGTAAGGCTTAAAGCATGCTCAGGATGACCCCAGAAAGTCGTATCCATGCTCAGTACATACCATCAGAGCCCATCTGTTCAGGCTGCATGACTTTCTTAGTGGTAATATTGACAGCCAGTGTGAATGCTGATGCCACATAGTATCTCCCAGGCTCTGCAATAATTTGCACACCCGAGTTAGCAGGGAAATGTTTATCCAATGCTAGATTTATCACCGATGTTACCTAAAATTAAAAGAAAAGGAGTACTAGCTTTTACACATTTAAGCAAAATGTAGTTAAAAGTGGTTCTAAAGGCATTAAAAAAAAATGTCCCAGTAGTTGCCTCCCCCCATATACATACCTGTCTTGATCCAACATTGTGCCTCTGTCTTCAGTGGTGCTGGTCTCTGTTCCTCTCTTCACAGGACACAGAGGTAGCAGCAGGAGCCATTGGCTGCTGCTGCTGTCAACCAAATCCTGTGAGGAGTGAGCAGGGGGTGGGGCAAAGCCATGGTATGGGTGTCTAGGGATGCACACCGTCCAACGCAGGAGCAGGCGCACAGCGGAAGAGGAGGGTTCAAGATTGCTGGTCAGGAACCCCATAAGGGGGAGGTTTGTGGCACTCTGTGCAATACCATTGGCAAGTATAACATGTTTATTATTTTAATAAAAAAAATGTGTCCTTTACAACCGCTTTAAGTTGCTTAGGAGGCAGTTTAAAGTGTTCGTAAACCCACAACAGTAAAATCAGTCTGTATATGCAGTAAAGCATGCTTGTTATACTCACTGTGGGACCTAAGGTGTAAATCCTCTGCATTGTGTAAAAAGGCTGCTTCAACCTTTTTCTCTGTTCCTCCCCTTTTCGAAGCTACCACCTCTATCTCCAGACTGAACCATAGACATGCACATGCTCAGTTTGGTGTGTATTACTAGAGGTTTTTATTTTTCTTGGGGGAGTCCATTAGATCAGCACAGGGCCAATCAGCACTGGTCAGACAGAGGTCAGGAGATATGCATCCTCCTAGAGCAGAAATAAAAACTCCTCCTCCAAGATTTAGCTAGTACTGGGCTGTACACAGATAGAGGTCACAAGACTGCTCTAACTGCTGATGAGAAAAGGGATTTAGCAATTTATATTTACTAAAATAATTGCATTTCCATGTTCTGTGTACTGTGGGAGACCAGATATACAGTTGCAAGAAAAAGTATGTGAACCCCTTGGGATTACGTGGAGTTTTGCATGAATTGGGCATAAAATGTGCTCTGAACGTCATCTAAGTCACAACAATAGAAGAACACAGTCTGCTGAACATAATACTACACAAACATTAGATGTTGCCATGGTTTAATTGCACATAACATGTAAACATTCACAGTGCAGGGAGGAAAAAGTATGTGAACCTTTGGACTTAATAACTGGTTGACCCTCCTTTGGCAGCAATAACCTCAACCAAACGTTTCCTGTAGTTACAGATCAGACCTGCACAACGATCTGGAGTAATTTTGGACCACTCCTCTTCACAAAACTGTTTCAGTGTAGCAATATTCTTGGGATGTCTGGTGTGAATCGCTCTCTTAAGGTCATGCCACAGCATTTCAATCGGGTTGAGGTCAGGACTCTGACTGAGCCACTCCAGAAGGCGTATTCTGTGCTGTTGCAGCCATTGTTTTGTTGAATTACTTGTATGCTTTGGGTCATTGTCCTGTTGCATCACCCATCCTCTGCGGAGCTTCAGTTGGCGGACAGATGGTCGTACCTTTTCCTGCAAAATGTCTTGATAAACTCTGAAATTCGTTTTCCCATCAATGACAACAATCCCTCCAGGCCCTGAGGCAGCAAAGCAGCCCCAAACCATGATGCTCCCTCCGCCATGTTTTACAGTGGGGATGAGGTTTTGATGTTGGTGTGCTGTGCCTTTTTTTCTCCACACATAGTGTTGTGTGTTCTTCCCAAACAACTCAATCTTGGTTTCATCTGTCCACAGTCTATTTTGCCAGTAGTGCTGTGGAACATCCAGGTGCTCTTCTGCAAACTTCAAACGTGCTGCAATATTCTTTTTGGACAGCAATGGCTTCCTCCGTGGTGTCCTCCCATGTACTCCATTCTTGTTTAATGTTTTCCTTATTGTAGATGTGTCAACAAAAATGTTCGCATGTGCCAGAGATTTCTGTAGGTCTTTAGCTGACACTCTAGGATTCTTCTTTACCTCATGCAGCATTCTGCGCTGTGCTCTTGCAGTCATTTTTACAGGACAACCACGCCTAGGGAGAGTAGCAACAGTGCGAAACTTTCTCCATTTGTAGACAGTCTGTCTTACCATGGACACATGAACATCAAGGCTTTTGGAGATACTTTTGTAACCCTTTCCAGCTTCATGCAAGTCAACAATTCTTGATCGTAGGTCTTCTGAGAGCTCTTTTCTGCAAGGCATGGTTCACATCAGACAGTGCTTCTTGAAACCAGTAAACCCAAAACAGGTGTGTGTTTTTTAAGGGCAGGACAGCTGTCAGCAACACATCCAATATCATCACACTGATTGGAGTCAAGGTTGTCTCACTCCTGGCTCCAGATAGCTCTGGGAGAAGTCATTAAGCTAGGGACTCACATACTTTTTCCTCCCTGCACTGTGAATGTTTACATGTTATGTGCAATTAAATCATGGCAACATCTAATGTTTGTGTAGTATTATGTTCAGCAGACTGTGTTCTTCTATTGTTGTGACTTAGATGACGTTCAGAGCACATTTTATGCCCAATTCATGCAAAACTCCACGTAATCCCAAGGGGTTCACATACTTTTTCTTGCAACTGTAGTGAATGCAGGGTGCTGGGTTTAGTAACACCTTAACCACTTGCCCTCTAGAGGATTTACCCCCCCCCCCCCCCCCGCCATTTTTTGTGATATGGCGCCGGGTAACTTTAACTAACAATTGCGCGGTCATGCACCGAAATTAAATATATGTCTTATTTTCCCACGAACAGAGCTTTCTTTTGGTGGTATTTGATCGCCTATGTGTTTTTTATTTTTTGCACTATTTAAAAAAAAAAAGACCGACAATTTTGGGGAAAAAAAAATTATATTTTTTACTGCTATTAAACATGTACAGTAAAAAAAATTTTTTTTTAATCTAATTTAGTCAAAAGTTTAAGCCAAAATGTATTTTGCGGCAAGTGTTTTCTAAAAAAAAATCCCAATACGTGTAAATTAATTGGTTTAAATGAAAGTCATAGCTTTTACAAATGGCAGTAGTATATATAAATTGGATTTTTTTTTACTAGTAATGGCGGCGATCAGTGACTTATAGCGGGACTGTGGTGGGCATTCTGACATTGGGGGAAACTGACTTGGTGTCATTGACATCCCCAGTGACACCAATACAGTGATAAGTGCTAATAAAAAGCACTGACACTGTATTAATGGCACTGGGCAGGAAGGGGTTAACATATGGGGCAATCAAAGGGTTAACTGCTGTTTTACTATGTGGGCTGGGTGTGATTTACACTGTAGGCACACTGCTTTGTATGGCTCTGCAGCTGACAGGGGAGAGAACTGTATTGTTTACATACAGTTCTCTCCCCCCGATGGTATTACTCGGCAATCGCTAGATGGGATCCGGTGATTGACAGCCGAGGATGCGAATGACAGCGCGGGTAGGGAGTGCTAATTTTTTGCGCATGCCCCCTACCCGGAACTGCACAATCACGTATATATACACACGAACTAGTGCCTCCCTGTAGCAGTATTTCTGCTATAGGGCGGACAGCAAGCGGTTAAAGGAACATTTGAATTTGTTTTAAAAATAACAAACATGTTATATTTACCTGCTCTGTGCAGTGGTTCTGCACAGAGCAGCACAAATCCTCCTCTTCTTGGGTTCCCCACTGGCACTCCTGCCCCCCCCCCATACCTAGTGCCCCTATAGCAAACAGCTTGCCATGTGGGCACCCAAGCAGGCTCACTCCTAAGACTCTGCTCTCTGCGTCCATTTACAGATGGAGTATGGTTTGTCCTCGCCCCTGCTGTCTCCTCACTGGCTGGGACTGACAGTAGTGGGAGCCAATGAGGAGGGAGAGACCTGAGATTCTCGTGCTCATCGCTGGATCGAGATGATGCTCAAAGGTCTAGGGGAGCTGCTGCATACAGAAGGTTTTTTTTTACCTTCATACATAGAATGCATGAATGTGAAAAACCTTCAGCCTTTACAACCACTTTAATTACTTTAGCAAACCATATAATCTGTTTCTAAGTTCTATACATATACATATACAGCCATTTAGCTGTCATTAATAATATCTTACAGCGCTGAGCGAACTATTGGCGCTTTATAAATACTGTATAATAATATCATATCATTAATAATATAATATCAGCTCCATCCACGACCTCTTTATCTCCCACTCCCTCAACCTCCTAGCAGTCACCGAGACCTGGGTACAGGCCACCGACTCTACCTCCCCTGCGGCACTCTCCTATGGAGGTCTCGTCTGGTCCCATTCACCAAGACCGAGCGGTCGCAGAGGTGGTGGTGTTGGCTTGCTCCTATCACCGCTGAGCACCTTCCAGGTCCTCCCTAACCCCCCCTCTCTATCATTCTCCTCCTTCGAGGCTCAATGCATCCGACTCTTCTCCCCCAACCCCCTAAGGATTGCAGTGATCTACAGGTCTCCCCGATCCATACCCCGCTTCCTGGATGACTTCGCCGCCTGGCTTCCCTTCTTCCTCTCCTCTGAGCTAAGGACCATCATCCTTGGGGACTTCAATATCCCCATCAACGACAACAACCCAGCTACTTCCCATCTCCTCCACCTAACCTCCTCCTTTGCGCTCACACAATACGCCCAATCTTCCACCCACATCGATGGGAACACCCTGGACCTTGTCTTCTCCCACCTCTGTACCCTCAACCAATTCACTAACACTCCCTTCCCTCTCTCCGACCACCACCTCCTCACGTTCTCCGTCTCCCCTTCCCCTAACTCCCCCCCCCCCCCAAAGCCCCAAACCATCACCAGCCGCTACCTCTGCAACCTGAACCCGGCTCCCCTCCACTCGGCAGCCGACCGCCTACACGGCAGCATCCTTCCACTGTCATGTCCTGACCTAGCTACCTCCACGTACAACGACTCACTATCATCTACCCTAGACTCTC